CTGCTTGGTTTGTTTAGAAAGATAAAGAAAAGGGTTTTTGCATTTTTAAAAATTGTTTGTGTCATTGTTTATTGAGCATATTCTATTAGTTAAAAATCTGTTCATTTACTTTCTCTTCACTCTTTTAGTGTAACTAGTTGAGAATCAGAATAATTTAGTGGCCTTCCCTCCTTACTGTACCCTCCATCTTGTTTTATTTCCTGGTAATATGGTTTGAGGTGATGCTCTCTCTAATAAAATTTTTTAAATTAAGAGGTAGGAACTCTCAGAAATCTAAAGAATTTTTTGACATGTTTATTTGATGCACGTAAAATAACAGTTCAGACTACTGTAGGCTCTAAAAAGGATGATAAACTTGATTAAAAGTATTGACAATTGCTATAGATTTATTTTGGGATGAGGAATGAGACAGATAGCAGTTTAGGGTTACCTTACCATTATTTAAGATGCTAATTCTTTATTTTTTTAATTTTTGATACTTTCCATTTCCCATTGACATTTTCAATAAATCTCAGAATTTCTGGCATTTGATTTGAGATATAAAATACATGTTTTTGAAGATTTATGTATGTGTGTTATTTATCCACATGTTAAATAAAGCCTGAGTTTAGAAAGGACATATTGCTTTAAATAAAGATAACCTAGGGATTCCACTGGTATTGCTGACTTCTGTAGGGCTTAAAAGGAAGCAAAACTGAGTCCATTCAGCCTTTCATAATTGTGAGATATTTAGGTTAGTTTCCACCTAAATGTTCAGGTCTGACTTAAGTAATTCTGTTAACTAAAGCATTGTATGAACATTACATGTTCAACATTACATGTTCACATGGTCATTAATAATAGAAAATAAAGACGTGGTAAAATGTCTTTATGAATAAAACAAAATTGGCTACTTTAGCTTTTTCCTTAAATAAGATACCTGATTTCATGAATATCTCTTTAGCTTTTTACTCTAATGGCTTCTTTGTTATATTTTACTTTTTTTTTTTCATGAGGAAAGTTGCTTATATAAATAACATAGAGGCAAGGTAGTCAGTTATGCTTACATGTCTTTCTCTGATGTTCAGTACCATTTCTTGGTATTTGAATCCCCATGGCCTGTAGGTATACAAGACTTGATTTTTTTTTTTTTTTTATGTCTACACAGGGACAGATTGCAATCAAATTAAGATATATAACTAATGGAAAATATATAATCCTATTTAATCAGGAGTAATTACTTGGAATTAAAAGGAATATTTTTTTAAACAGATGTGTTTTTGGTTCTGTGTCTTTTAGAGCATTTGTGCCTTTCTGCAGTCTCTTAAATAGTAGATGGGATCAGGATGATGATAGGAACTAAGATTTATTGAACACTTAGTAAAATATTTCAGGTACTATAAGTGATTTATGAATATTACATCATATTTAATTCTCATGATTATCATGCGAGTAGTGTGATTTCAGAATCCCTGTGTTCCTGATACAAGGAGACATGATGATTTAAGATAGGTAAATTCAGTTTGGGCAAGGTCTTCCAGTTGGTTAGCCAGTATATTTTTTTAACCTACAAGATATGAAATAATAATGTCCTTATAATTTGTACATTAAAAGAGGACTGGTTGGCAGTTTTTTTGTAGCAGTTATGAGTAATGGCATTTGAAAGGACCTGTTATTTTTGGATCCTTTTCTGTGTGTAGACAGGTATGTATTGGATTCTGAAGGCAATCTTTTTTTATAATTTAAAATGCTAGCTAGTCGTGTCCTTTAAAAATTTTTTTTTCCAGTTCCTTAAATACTCTTAGTTTTTCATCTTACAATGTGTGCAAAAAGGTATATATTGCAGAGTAAATTGAATTTTATTTAAAATAACCCCAAATATTTTTCTGCTAAGTTATTTATTTTACAGTATACCTTTTCCAGTAAACATCCATCCCCCATTACTCCAAATTTAAGAATTTTAGATCATAGTTTTCATTGAGAGTAGCACCCTTTTTTGCTCTTCTTTTCTTCTTAGAACGTTTCTTAATTTAGCTAGTGCATTTTATTGGGGAAAGCCTTAATATTTTAAGGAGGTAGAATAAGCTGTTTTGTATGATATGTCTCAATGGAAGAATAACAAACTAAACATTTCTATCCTCCTGGCCTAATTACATATAATTATTTTATGTGTTTGTAGAATAATTACACATTTTATATGATTACATATTTATAATTACATATTTATAATAGTAAATTTATACATACTATTATTACCATTTATTATTTTAATTATTTATGTGTCTACCCGGTAAGTTTTTTTTATAGTAGGTCCTTATATTTTTCTGAAAGTAATAATTATGTAAAGAGTCCTTTTAATGCACTTGTCAAAATTATGTTGACATTTCCAGTGGATACTGAATACAAGTAAGTATTTTAGTCTTTTCAAGTGAGGAAGGGAAAGTGTTATATGACATTTTAGTGCCATCTCTTGGGCACTTGGTAAATAGACTTTAAAGCTTTGAAAGTATCTAAGAATGTAAACCTATTTAGTCATAGGCTATTATCGTTGACATTGCTGTGCAAATATAATGTACCCCTTGTAAGTAGTAATATTCACCAAACATAATTTTTCCCCTGAAAGTAGTAGTATTCACTAAAACATAAATTGTTCATAATTGACTGCAATTTTACTTACCTTCCTAAAGAAAATTAGCCAAACATTTAGTGTAAACATTGTTAAACAGGAAATTTAAAGATTTTCATTTTTAAAAGCTAGTTTTAAGAGAAATTATTAGCTTTTGGTGTGTGAAAGAAATTTAATTGTAGGGAAAAACATAACTAGACATTGTTTAAGTATCAGTTAAGTATTTAAAAATCTTAACACTGGGTGCTATTTTGTTTATTTTTTAATGTAGAAACAGTTGTGATTACAGTGTCACTGTGAGATATTTAATGAGGAAATACCATAAGTGGGGGGCGGGTGTGTGTTTAAGGTTTGGAGAGTAGTGATCTAGAAGAGGGACCTAAGGTTTAGGCATACCACTATAGTCTGAAATCATGTAATGCATTTAAGTTATATATGTATATAAATATTGACCATACTGACCACAATATATGTGAAGAGATCTTGCTCTTCAGAAGCTTTCAATTACAAAATAAGACAATTTCGAAACTGATGTTTATTACCATGTACTCTCTCTCTCAAGATGGAGTTGTTTTATGTATTTGCTGTAGGTTTCCAATTATGTGTTGTCTTTATAAAAATGAACAAATCATGTGTAAACTTACTGTTTTACTATTAGTAATGTTGTTGGTGTATTTGGTGCTTCTTTTTTCCATTTTAAAGATTCTTAGTTTGACAGTGTATTTCACACTGAATGGATTGTCAGAATCAAAGGAGAGAAGACTCAGACAGGGGTGTCCAACCCTTTGGTGTCTCTGGAACTGGAAGAAGAAGAGTTGTCTTTGGCCACTCATTAAATACACAAAGACTAATGAAAACTGATGAGCAAAGAAAAGGTTTTAAATAAATTTATGATACTGTGTTGGGCTGCATTCATAGTCATTGTGGGCCACATGCGGCCCATGGGCTGCTGGTTGGACACTCCTGCACCCAAGGAATTTCCTATTGCAGTCATGATGAATATGAAGGAAGTTATGTGGTTCTTGCTGCTTCTGAATATTTGTGATACCAGGAACGTTTCATCTTTTAGTTAGGGTCCAGTCTTCTGTCAAAATGACAGTTTTCTGACTTTATGTTTGATGCCACTTGAGAAAGAATTGATTCTTTTTATTTTTTTATATTTTAAAATTATTTTTGGTGACACTGTTAGAGATGTCCCCATTCCTCCTCAGCTGCGCACCCAGGCCCTGCCCCCTCTTTCCCTCTGTCCATCACCAGTTTATTTTGTTCATTAGATTGTTGCCCTCCCAAATAACTAAAATGTTTACATTTTCGTATGAATAACATTTACTTTATACATTTTCAAAATTTGTTTAAATCTTATACTGACTTTATAAAAATATGAGACTAGTATTGATAGAATATGAGAATTAAATTTAGTTTGTCAAATAAGAAAGTAAACTTAGCATTTTAGGTGCTGTATGTGTGGTATAGAGGAGAGTAGGATATGGGATTTGAAGTTACAGAAAGTGAGTTTGAATCCTGGCAGTATTGCTCACGCAACTTTACCTTGGGGTGGAGGGAGCATATTGTGTCAAATTGCCTGCAAACAATAAACAGCTATTTGAATGTTAACTATTAATGTGAGACTTTGTAGTTTTCCTTATGAGAGAATAAATAGGTTTGATATTAAAGTCTGAAATTTATTTTGTATTTCTTAGCTGCATTTTTCTTATCTGATGGTCAGATTGTAATTCTCAGGAATGCTAATAAAATGTGAGATCAAAACTTTATAAAATGACTTTAGTTCCAACTTACGTCAGTTTTGCATTTGTTTTCATTAAGTGAAAATTCTGTTATGGTTGATGTTATTTAGTAAAGTCATTTATCAAAGTATTATTTTTGTGTCTACTTTAAGTGTGATGAAATATACACAGTTATAAAGCAGAACCATATTTATAGTACGTTTTCATTGGAATCATTTGTCTTGATTCTGACAAAACATTTGTAGTTTTATTTCAACACTTTTAAAGAAATTTTTGTATGCAAAGAATGCTTGAGGAAAAGTTTCTGTATTAAAATAATCTCTAACTTGATTTTATTTATTTCTTCTTGTAAACCTCTAACTGAATTATCAGAATTTATAATGTTAATTTTTTTCCCTCAGTTTTTAAGCTTTCAGTTAATTTTGGATGTTCTACATTGCTTTTTAAAGGAAGGAAGGGAAAAATTGATTTCTTTTTAAATAAAAAGATTTACCTCTTGTCTTTGCCTGGTTTTAAGTGACTGATTCATTTCTTGTAGCATTTCCTTTTGTAGCTTAACACATACTTGACTAGATAAAGCTTTAAATAGTGAGAATAATAATGTTCCTAATAATCAGTGACCTCAAACTATTAAATTATATTTTTTGCAGTATCCCTTTTACTATTCAGCGACTATGTGAATTGCTAACAGATCCAAGGAGAAATTATACAGGAACAGACAAATTTCTCAGAGGAGTAGAGAAGGTATTTATTTTGTTATTGGAATTATATTAAACTGCAGCATAATATATTTTAGAAAAACACATTGAGTAAGTAAGAGCTGTTGCAGGCATCTTTTCTTGAAATAAGTTTCTCAACTTACCTGAACTTTTTTCCCAAATTGTTTTCTGAATTGTGGTCAAGGTTTCAGAGATTTAATAGAGGGGCAGAGGAGGGCTTGTGATTAATTAAGTTTGGGGAAGCAGCTTAGTATTATCTCTTGGATATTCATAGTATATACATCAACATACTAAATGTTCTGTAAAGTTCTATAATTGATATTTTTTAATAGCGTGTTACTGCAAACTTGCTAATCTGTGGAATTTATTTCAGTTCTAGAATTCAGAGGTATACAGCTCTGGAAAATCACTGATATAAAGTATTTACATTAGATATTAAGAAAGATAAAGGTCAGATTTAAGAATGAAGAACTAGGTTTTGTGTGAATTGAGGGGATGTTAGTAATAAGGGAAGGACATTTTAGACAGAGGAAACAGCATGATGAACAAAGACATTGAGGTGTTTGAGGAAGTTGGCTTGTGAAGACTGAAGACAGTGAAGGAGCCCTGGGAACTGAGATTGGACTAGTGGGTGGCTAACTCCCTCACTTGGATATTAATCCTGAAACATAGTCCAGTGTTCATTTTAAGGTTATAGTTCAAACTCAGTTATTTTATACCCTGGAAGCAAGAATCCAAAGTCTTCAGTGATTTACAGTAGATCATAGGGCCTTACTGCGTTAATATTTTGAGTTTGTTTTATGGGGGTATTCATGGCGGGACCCCCTCCCCCCCCATAAAAAACCCAGAATTATCTTCTGGAGGGCAGGTCCCTTGAAGGGCAGGCTTCCCCTACTATGTGAGGGTTCTAGGAAGCCATCTGTATCAGTGTACCAGCTGCTTGTGTTAATGAGAGGCTGCACTTGGCTTCAATGAAATATTTATTTATTTATTTATTTATTGAAGATTCTTTCAGCATGTTTGCCTATTTCACGTTGGGTGATTTGTGAGTGTGCCAGCCCACACCAGACTGAGAGTTCAGTTTTGACCAAAAACAGCATGACCTCCTGTGCCCCCCACCCTCCTTGTCACTGGATCTCACCCCAACCGGGTTTTTGTATGTGTCCCTGGATGAAAGAAGTCCTCAAAGAGAAATGTTTTGCTGATGTGGAAGAGGTGAAACAAACAAAATATGGCAGAAGCACTAAAAGGCATCAGAATTGACAAGTTCAATAACTGTTTTAAGCAGTGGAAAAAATGTCTCCATTGGTGTATTGCATCAGGTGGAGAGTACTTTGAACGTAATTGAAATTTAAACATGTAACAATAAATACACAACATTTGTAAATAAATTCCGGGTTTTTTTGGACACACCCCCGCCCCCCTGGTATGATACTACACATCAGGCTTTGATTGGTACTGCTTTATAAGGAAATTGATTATACTTGGCCTAAAAGGTTTTATATCCAAGTATCATGGGGTGATTCTAACTACAATAAATAGAGCACAATTCCACTATATTGCATGCAATGTATAATGTTATGGCTTCAAAGTAACTAAAGTAGAGTAAAAATTTTAAATAAGACTGCCAAAAATATAAATGCATTAGTAGGATATAGCTTTTGGTCTTTAATTTTAATTTTTGATTGTAAGTTTTTATTTTTAAATATTTATTTTCTTTCATTAATAAAATCAGACTAAATGGAAACTTAACCTACCAGGATGAATTTGAGAAATTAAAAACAAATGATTGAACTTCATGTTGTAGTACACGTCCTCATATTAAATGTCCAATTTTTGTTTGCAGAATGTGATGGTTGTTAGCTGTGTGTATCCTTCTTCAGAGTAAGTGCAGAGATTTTTCTATTTCTAGTATGTAAGTTTCTAACTTATAATATTTCTAATATAGTCATTTTAAAGTAGGTTGCATTTATTTTATATGTAATTAAGCAGGAGGACATTTATAAATACTTGTGAATTTACCACCCAGATTCCAAAGTAGAATATTACCAATAACATTAGCTGTATGTTTTTCCAATAAAGATACTTAGATTAAAGAGATGCATGATTTACTGTAATATTCACATTGTTGGATATATATTATTGTCATGTCACTTGGCTCTGGGATCCTAGTCTCGATACCTTTCCCCAAGACATCTTTAGGAATAGCTGATAGCTGCCTGATGACATTCCTCCTCATGATGGAAAACTATGTTTTCAGTTCTCAAGATTTATATAGCAAATTAGGATGTCAGTTAAGGGCATAGTCCTTGGCACAATTAGCATTTTGTTAATGAGTGGCTATCCTGGAAATTACAGGAGGTTTAGCAGTGTCTTTTGTCTCTACCCTCTAGCTTTCCTCCCTGCTCCCCACCCCCCGCCTGCCCCCAAAATGTTTTCAGACATTGCCAGATGTCTCAGGATGTAGAGTAGTGGTATTATGAGGAGGATGTTGCTTCCTATTGAGAAGCAGGACTAAATGAGTGAGAGGATCTAAAGAGTATTTCCATATGGAAGACTTGTAGTTTTACTTATAGGAGGACATTTAACTTGCTGGAGAATTGAACTAAAAGGTCATACAACTAGTTGACTAGTTCCTAGTGGGAATAAATATTCATTAAACAGTTTAGGTTTAAGGTTAAAAATATCTCTTGATTTCATAAACAGAAATGGAAATTCTTTTTAGAATTTTAAAAAAAATATACCTATGTTGTCAGGAGAATCCCATAATTGCTATTTCTTGCAGGGGATTATTGTTTGGTTCTGTGACAGATCTTAGAAAAGATGTAGACTCTTGATTCTTGTCAAAACTAAGACACTAAACCATCCATAACAGTGTTTTTTGTTTTTTTCCTCATAGAAAAAACAATTCAAATAGTTTAAATCGAATGAATGGTGTTATGTTTCCTGGAAATTCACCAAGTTATACTGAAAGGTAAGACTCTTGATTTTTAATATTCACAGAATTTACATTTTCCTTATTTTGAGTAGCGAGATCAATATACTTTTTTAAAAGTTGGGCAATTTATGGAGGATATAGAATATACTAAACAGAATTAGTTAATTTGGTAACTTATGTATATGAAAGTCAGAGTTACCCTGAAAGGTGTAACTTTTAGCAAAATAGGAAAATGATGTTCATTTATCTTACCACAGGTCTAACATAAATGGGCCCGGAACACCCAGGCCACTTAATCGACCAAAGGTTTCTTTGTCAGTCCCCATGACAGCAAATGGCTTGCCTGAGGGCACTGATGGCAGAGAGTCAAACTTACAGCAAAATGAGGACAAAAATCACAGGTTTGTTTGTGATACATATTTTTTTAAATTTTTATAAAATGTTAACGTTTATTGCTGGTTTTCAGCACTCATTGTTTACTATTTATAAATTATTGTTGTTTTGAGGTATAAAACAGGTTTTAATGTGGTTAGAGGAGCTCTTAGCACATGCTGAAGATGGGCGTAGAAAAGGAGTAAAACTGCTAATTTGGGGAGGTCCTCTTTAAAATACGGTCTTAAGAAAATAAAGTGGTCATAATACATTTTATGTCTTGTTTTTTAGTTATTAGTGAGTTGTAAGTGAGTTGAAATTTTGTGAATAATATCTTACTATAGATCATGAAAGGAAACATTTATATCCCATCTCAAATATTCTGCATCACATAAAGGGAAAGAAGACTAAATGAGTAAGAGAATATAGAATATTTCCATATGAAAGACTTGTAGTTTTTGTTTTTCTTGGTTTTTTTTTAAAGATTTTATTTATTTTTAGATAGAGGGGAAGGGAGGGAGAAAGAGGGGGAAACATCAGTGCGTGGTTGCCTCTCACATGCCCCATACTGGGGACCTGGCCTGCCACCCCAGGCATGTGCCCTGGTTGAGAATCAGACCAGCGATGCTTTGGTTCACAGGCCAGCACTCAATACCCTGAGCCACACCAGCCAGGGCAAGACTTGAAGTTTTATTGTAGGAGGACATCTAACTTGCAAATTGAAAGGTCAGATACCTTGTTGACTAGTTCCTAGTGGGAAAGTCTCATTAAACAGTTCAGGTTCCCTTGAAGTTCTCTCTCTCTCTCTCTCTCTCTCTCTCTCTCTCTCGTTTTTGGCCTAGATAGTATAATTTAACTTTGACACTGAAATACAATTAAAAAATTAATAGACCTTAAAAATGAGAATGGAGAAAATGAAAATCTTACTAATGACACTTTAAAAAAACATTTACAGTGACTCTCTGACTTCTGGATCAGAAGGTTCCTCAGTGAGCCCTATAAAAAATAAACACCCAGATGAAGATGCTGTGGAAGCTGAAGGGCATGAGGTAAAAAGACTTCGATTTGACAAAGAAAGTGAAGCCAGAGAGACAGACAGTCAGACATCTTCCAGTGAAATTTCTTCGGTTATGGTAGAAGAAGCAGAAGAATCATCTTCATCTCAGGATAAAGACAAAGAAAGTAGTTGTACCAGGCAACACTGTACAGAAGAAGATGAGGAAGAGGATGAAGAGGAAGAAGAAGGTATTTAGAGACCATCTGTAAAAGGGTGGAGTAAGGACATCCTCAAATTCTTATACTTCATTTTTGCGTGAAAGAATGTAACGTAATGGAATTCCTTATAAAATGCTGATGTTGGGCTTTTCTCCCACATTTATGTAGTTGCTGCTGAGTTTCAGGGGATATGATTTGAACTGTAGAATATCACAATTCATGAAACTTAACTGTTGGAGGTATTTTGAAAATAAAATTTAACTACAACAACATTTGCTTATTTTTAGAGTCTTTTATGACATCAAGAGAAATGATCCCAGAAAGAAAAAATCAAGAAAAAGAATCTGATGATGCCTTAACTGTGAATGAAGAGACTTCTGAGGAAAATAATCAAATGGAGGAATCTGATCTGACTCAAGCTGAGAAAGATACACATTCTGAAGGTAGTGAAAATATAGGCCCTGAAAGTAGTGGTTCTGATTGCCGTGAAACAGAAGAATTAATAGGATCCAATTCCAGTAAAACTGAAGAAATTCTCTCAGAATCATCCATGGAAAATGATGACAAAGCCACAGAAGTCATAGAAGAACCAATGGAACAAGACTAACTATTTAGAAACATTTAGATAACAGTATTTTACATACAGTTCTGGTTTTACACTGTATAAATCGTCTGTGTAATAAAGTGGACGTTTAGTTTTTACAAGAGAAGCAGGTTGTAAAATAAAGTATTTTGTGGAATAAATCCTGAAAGAGTTGTACATGTAAGAAATGTGACTATCAGCTCCTTGGGTCCTGCTTACCGCTGACTTTTTTTGATTTGGTCAAATCAGTGGTTTGTGTATAGATTTTTTTTTTTTTTAATTTTAGAATTAAAGTTTTTAAACTGGAAAGTAATTATAATTTTGAAAACCTTTTGGAGATTATTTAGTTTATACATACACAGGAAAGCTTTTTGTCTTATCTTTCTGACAGCTCCAGCCGTTTTCATATTTTGGTCATAGTTTCAACATTTTAACATGTGAATTTTAAGATGTCATGCTTATTTCCAGATTTTATTGTTTGTTGTACAATGGAACTTTAAGTCAGACACACACACACACACACACACACACTCTCTCTCTCTCTCTCTCTCTCTCTCTCTCTCTCACACTCTCACTCTGTAATGGGGGGAAATGTTATATTTTTCTGTTTCTATAAGAGATGAATAAATACAGTGGATACTTTTTCTATGGGAAATAATTGAGTTCACTTTTTCAGAAGATAGTTTCCTTCTTTTCTGAGTAATTCAAATATAATCTGGCCCCGATGAAACCCTGGAAATCTTAAGTCTATTGAAATACCAGGTTAAACACATTCCAAGAGATCTCTTCAAACTGAAAATGTTTTGTATACTTTTGAGGTGCCTGAGAAAAAGACTTCATTATTTATGAGAAAATATACTTTATCTTGGAAATGGTGTTCAAATATTAGCTTAGTATTTTGTAGAATGAATGCTTAATAAAGCTGACATAAGAACATCTCAGAAGAACCAGGCAGGTTCTTTAAACTTTGGCTTGTTTTTTTTGAACATTGTGAATATTACACATGCTTTCTAAATTATTCTAGAGTATGCAACTGTCAATGATATGAAACACCACTGTACTGGAAGAATTAATATATTACTTTAGTAATGTACTGGAGCTAAATGACAGGCTTTAGGGGTGCATAGAAACCACCATAATTTGTATGACATTTTGAAGTGAATTAAATATTTTTGAACATGCTTCTTCAACAGCCAGTGTTACAGTTTTCAGACCAATACAAAGCACAATGATTACTTTAAACTCAATATTTTCAAATTCACATATATAGTGTCATGCAAGCTGCAATTTCTCTGGCACAATTACTGGCTGCCAAATTTATACCTGTTTCTTCAGCTGTACCTTTTGATATTTAGAGTTTTTAAATTTCTGTAAAGTAGATTTTGTAGAGTGTAATGTGTTCACTGCCTTTGTGATGCGGTGTATAACTGTATAATTTCTGTGTGTAAACTGAATGCTTGGGCTTTCAATACAGTATTCATATGAAGCAATAAATACTAATGCTATGAAATATTTGAGTACATTTTTATCAAAATATAAAGTAATTCCTTTTTTTTAGTTTTGGATACCTGAAATACACAGATGAACTTACAAAACTGTAAGTTGCAAACAATTTCTAATACTGTATCATATGCTTTTGGGTGATATGGGTGGCAACCGCAGTTTTGCATTTTGACTACTAAAATTCCTATGACTAAAAATACCAAAATGATTTGGCTCCGTTTATGTTTATAGGGTACTATACTACTGACTGACTTGACTGTCAGGTTCACAGCAGCTCGGTGATACATTTATGAATATGTCTAATGGTTACAATAAAAACAATATTGATTTACTGTAATTGAGGGGAGAAAAAGCTCTTGCAAATTAAAAACAAACTTACAGAACTGTTAAAATGAAGCAAATTTTAAATGTGACATTCATTTTTAGTGACCTGTTAACCTTATTTTGTTGAGGGATATTTTGCCAATAAGAACAGATTGTAAACAATTTAAGTTAAGAAATCTTGAAATATTCTTTAGAATATTTATGAAATTAATGTCAATAAACCTGTTCTTTAAGATCCTGTGACCTTTTGATATTTTTATTTTAATTGTGCCATGGACCATTTGTAAACAAATAGATTTCCTTTTCTTATAAGTTGGAAGTATTAGCATCATGACTTTGAGGTCTGTGGTTTTATTTGTAAACTTGCAATTGTTATTTTTGCAAGGGCAAATGTATATCTTTATTAAATAAAGTACAATAATGGTGAATGTACCAAAATGCTGTCACTTAACTCTATGAGAGATCTGCATTTTGATTTATAGTTTAATAATTTTAATATTTATTAGATATTCATATGTTGATAGGTTGTTGCTTTTTATATAGATAATTGTAGAATGCTCATGGAATATCTTTAGGATAGATGGAATACTTCTATACTTAAATTGGGGAGCCTTGTTCAGCTGGTTTAAGATACTGATGCCCATTTGGAAGTAAATTTCCACAAGTATGTATGGGTGCACTTACACAGACTTCACTTCATGAAAATATTCTAATAGTAACTGATTCAGATGTGGATTTTTAAAAGACTAATTTTAGGCACATTTTCTTAACACACCACCAGCAAAGTCATATTAAAAGATCTAAAGAATCAATGATTAATTTTAATCTCAGTGATTGAAATTTTCTTTTTTCGCCTGGAGCAGATTGTTTACCTGTAAGACTCTAGACTCTGAACCCAACATGTAAAAAGAATTTGAAATTGTTGCTGGTCAAAAAACAATAAATGCATAATACATTTTTGGCACTTTGCCTGTTTAAAAGTAAAAACATCAACTACATTTTTTAAAATGCAGCTTTTAAGTTTTGAAAATGTAGCAGAACAGAAACTAGTGGCAAGTGTTAATTATTAGTGGGAAATGTTTTAAATGTTAATTATTAGATAAATTTAATCTGGTTTGGATTTATTGTAACTGCACCTGTCAAAAGTGTGGGCTGAGTAATGGAATTGCCTGTGAGGAAACTATGACCCTTCGGCTTGGAAAGATACCCGTAGTCCTGATCCAGGTAGTGTGGCCTGTTAAAACATTGAGGCTTAGAGTACTTTGCTGGTGTAGATAAGCCTGTTTTTATGCATTTTAGATTTGTAAAATCAACAATTTTTAAATGTAATATACTGGTTTATTTGTAAAGGTACTTGGGCACAATCTAAAGCTGCTACAGTGTTTGATTATGAGAACTGTAACATGGTAAGGATGAAAATGCAACTTGTAGAAGCGAACGAAATAAAAACTGGGGTAGTGTTTCAAAATGTCTTTTGAACAGAAATTTCTTAAATGCATGGACTTTGATCAAATGATGGCCAGTTCTCTCTTGAGAGTTGTGCTAATCATAAAATGCATAAGTGCAAAAACACCTTGTAATTTAATAGGCAGTTACAATTAGGTTTATCGGATTATTGCCCTAATAATGCTAGGATGTATTGGACAGAATACATATAATACTTCACATTAAAAAAAAAAATCAGTACACTTTCATATTTTCATTTCAACTTGGGAGTCCAGATTACTTTGCCAAATGTATTATTTTCATAATGCAATAAAATATAAATTAGAAGAATATCTTTATGTGTGGAATTATTTGCTGTGGTAAGTTCACAACCCCTCCCCTGCTTTTCCCTCCTCCTCACCTCATAGTTCAGGATCCATAAGCATTTCCTGATCTGTATAGTGAGGAAAGATTGATGCATTCATTACTTTATTACAGCTCTGTTTCTTAAGTGGTAACTTTTGCAAAGAGGCTGCTTCTGAGTTGAATGAACAGTTTTTGCTAAGCAACTCCAATCTAATATCCAATAGAAATTTATATTTACCATGTCAGAATTTCTCTTGGCATAATTTGGCTCTAGTTTGTATGCACAAATCTACAACATTTGTCTAGAATCATTTTAGAAATCTTTCAGACAACTACGTGGTAGAAGTAGTATAGAATTGCCCTAAGTGGAGAGGATTCTGTTTTCAATTCTGGATTCTCATTTCTTGATACATACTGCACAGTAGGTGATAGAAGATTCTATAGCTTTGAAGTCAGAAGGTAGATTGGGGTACTAATCAGCATGTTTCTGAATCGATAAGAAATAGTTTTGAGTTTCAACCCCATATTTAATCTCATCCTCACTAAGTATAGCTAATACAGAGTTTTGAGTTAATAATAGGAAGGTTGATTCTTCCACTGACTAAGATGTGCAATATGTCTGCTTGGCTATCTGGAATGTTTCCTTGTGTTCTAACAGTTTTAGAAAAACAGATTTTGTAGTAATTTTTTAGTGAGCATTAAAGTTTCTGGTCTTTGAATTTATTAACTGGATATTAAGTTACTTGGCTGGAATTCTGAATATAGTTTCTTACAGAAATTGTTGGAAATGTAGCTAACTTTCAGGCTATTATATATGAAGCTATTGAGTCCTTAATATGAGTGGTTTAGTAGTTTGGCAGTAGTAGTTAAGCATTTATAATGTTTCTGTTAGAAAATGTGGTCCAGTTCCTAACATGGGTTTATTAAAATGTCTTTCCCACAGTTTTGGCAGTGTAAGGGAGAGCTCCATAGATAGAGGTGTGTCACGGAGGATACAGCAGCTTGCCAAATATGTAAGTTATTTTTCAAGTTGGGTTATGGATGTAAGCAACAAACTACTAAATATAGCTTACTATGTGGTGATTCAGAATTCAACAGTTTGTAGTGCCTTGAAGTCATTAGGTTTCTGTATTGAATATTAGAAGTATATTACAGATAAGTTGGAGATAAATTTTCTGCGTATATAATTCCCTCTAAAAATTAATAGAGCACAGAAAGAATTCCCAGGTGTTTGAGTGTTCAGTTTGGATTATATGTAATGCATTTATGGTTTTCAAATTTCACTTCAACAAATGAAAGAAGTACACAAACAGAGATGCAAAAAAAAAAAAATTGCCACCTGTTAGGTGGCAATTTGTGTGAGTCGTTACGTATTTGGGGTACTAAAGAATGGAGGGAGCTGGAGAGCATTATGCTAAGTGAAATAAGCCAGGCAGCGAAAGACAAATACCATATGGTCTCACCTGTAAGTGGAAACTAATCGAAACAAGTGAGCAAAATATAAGAAACATGAAAATAAAGAAACAGTAAGTGGGGATGGTGGGTGGTGGTGGGGGGGGGGGGAATGGGGAAAAGGAGAAGAGTCCTCAAGTAACTATAAAGGACCTATGGACAAAGACAGCAGGAGGTGGGGAGAAACTGGGAGGTAGTGGTTGGTTGGGTTGGGGAAGAGTAATGGGGAAATGGGGACAACTGTAATTGAAAAAAGATATCTGACCTTTGAAGAATTCAGTCACCTTTGGTGGACAATATGCAACACAAATTTTTAACTAACTAGCCTGCGACTTGAAAAGATTCATAGACTCGTTAGTGCAGTTGCGACACAGTCTGGGAAGGATCTTCAGATGTGGGGTTCAGCTTGACCTTGAGAGATTAGCAGGACAGGGAGACAGCCTGCTGGAATGGGCAGAGTAGAGAGAGAGGGGAGTTGCAATGATAATAGATTGATAGTTTACCTGTCCGCTGTTGAGGCTCACTTTGAGCTTTAGTTTCCTCATTTATAAAGTAGGAGAAATAGTAGTATCTACATGGTAGGGTTATTGGGAGCATTCAAAGTAATTATGGGTATATAGCTAGATCTACTCCAGGACCTGAACATGCAAGGGGAAATGTGTATTGTCTCTGGGGAAGCCAGTTTTACTGGAATCAGAGTCAAGGTTTCCGTGATTGTTGCTATCAGGACAATACTAGAAAGCACTGAGTACATACTTTATACTCACATTTTTCTTAGCACATGTCACATTACTGCATTTAACTTTCCCATCAACTCTATGAGATTAATATCCCTATTTTATAAATCCTTGATGTAAAGAAAGGCAACTTGCCTTGGGACCTTTCAAAAGTGGAAGGTCAGAATGAGAATCAGGACTCCTGACTAAAATCCCCAGTGGGTGGTTTTGCAAAAGGAATAAGTGCCTTAAAAAATTCATTTATTTTTAGAGGGGGAAAGGGAGAAGAAAGAGAGGGAGGAAAACATTGATTGGTTGCATCTCACACATGCTCTGGCCAGGGACCAAACCTGCAACTGAGGCATGCGCCTTGACTGGAATTGAACCAGCAGCATTTCAGGGAGGATACCCAATGAAGTGGGCCACACTGGTCAGGGTTCAGGAAGCATAGATGCCTTTAAGAAAGTTGTAAACTAGCTGGTGCTGCTCAGAAGTCTGGCCGCATAAAATGTTATCTTTGACTAAAGAAACAGACTTGGCCTTGGTTCCTTGAAACTCCTCCTCCCCTACTCCTAGCTTCATACTAACTTCTGTTTGGGGAAGACAGATTTCAGAGGTCCTTTTACTTTGGTCAAATCCAATAAGCCTTTCTCCCTCTCCAAACACTAGTGTTTTCAGTGTTTCAGCTAGCCAGCCCATCAGGCACATGAACCTGAATTTTGGGAGGTGGTTCTGTAACAGGACTTGGGCATCTGTAGATTCTGGTGTCTGTAGGGGTCCTGGAACCAATTCCCTTCAGATACTGAGGGAAGACTGCCTTTTTCTTTATTAGACTCTCAAATTCTTGGTTGTTGCATGGCAGGGAAATACTGAATTTTCGGTCATTCACACAATGACGAATACTTGCTTCACTAGTGTCAGATTTACTCCTTTCTGTGTCTCCATGACTTCCAGGACATGACTCTGGGAGGGGCATGATAACAATTTTTCTCAATTGGGAATCAGTGTAAGCAAGCCTTTTGAAGACATTTTTCAATGGTGATTAATTTCACATGCATCTTGTACCAGCAATGTAGATAACTCAGTTGAAGTGACCACACTGTGAGCAGCAATGACCACTTTGCACATGCTGTTGCAATGGACTCTACTACCACCACCACTGGCTGATGGTGACTGAGAGATGCATCCTGATTTTTGAGATGAAGTGAACATGCTAGTATCAAATATTTCAGAAAGAGTCATCAATCCAGGCAGTAACCTGCTCATTTGTTCATCCATATATATTTATTCAGGGACTACTTACTAGTCTGGCTCTGGAGATAACAACAATTAAGATAAGTAGATACACCTTTGTATATATGATGGTGGTAAGTGCTATGGACCTAAGTGAAGGAGGGGAGGGGAATGAGTATTGGGGGAGGTTAGCTCCATTTTAAATAGCATATCTCTGAAACGATGTTTTGTGTTGAGCATTGTGGT